CCTTACAAGAGCAAGGTCCGGAGTTTGATCCCCGGTACCAAAAAAAAAAAAAAAAGACATATTATGTAGGGCCGGGGATTTAGCTCAGTGGTGCCACTGCCTGCCTCGAAAGCGCAAGGTCCCAAGTTCAATCCCCGGTATCAAAAAAAAGAAAAGATATATCATGTACAAGAGCAAACTCTCTTTGATAAATCTGACTGTTAGGTATATTTAAATTGTACCAATAAAATTAAGTTTTTCCAATAAAATTAATTTTAAAAAATTGGAAGTCAAAAGTAAATGTATTAATTAGCTAATTTTTCCTCACCCAAGGGAACTTCCCTCAAGGGAAGAGGGTTTGAACACCCTCTTCAGTCTTTGGGGAAACAGAAGATTCTGAACATCTTTATGGCACCTTCTCTTTTTATTTTAAAATAAATTTTATTTTATTTTACCCCATTTTCCCCCTCAATCCCCTCCCCTATGTACAAAAGCTTTGTTTCCATTTTAATTTTCTCTCAAACCAAGGATAAAGTCAGTCTTTTTCTCCTGGTGCAGCTGCAGTGTCAGGGACTGGGTCCTCCTAGGCTGGTGCTGGCTCACGTTGAGGCAGAGCTGCAGGTCCAGTGTAGCTGGGAATTGCAGGCTGGGGCAGGGACTCCAGAGGGTCCCTGTGTGGAGGGGGGACCAGAAGTGAATCTTTTTCTTTCTTATTAAGCCTCTGAATTTTTAGAAGAGGACAATTGGTCCTTGCCACCAATACAGGGCATAATTTATTTCCTTCTGAGACTCCAGTCTTTATCATTAACAAATTCAATCAGCAATTGATATAACCAGTCTTCATCCAATCTGAACTTTAGCCAAAAACTGGATGGGGAGAGGATGGGGGTTTGTTTGTGGTCAAATGAAACATTTTATCATCTGAGCTTTCTTTGTTGTTGTTGTTGTTTTCATCATGGGTTGTCATCCTAAATCCTTAACATTAGACTGAGGGAACTATTAGGGAGTATTTTGTTCCCTGAGCCTTTGATTTCCTAACCTGTGGTGACTGGGAGGCATATTTATTTCCCATTCTGTTTGTCCCACAGCCCAAGGCTCAATCTCCAGCATATGATGAGATATCTTGCCTTCAGTTACTTTCAATTTCACCCAAAATTGTCTCAACCTCACCCGAAGTCACCAGTCTCACACAAGACAGGGACAGAATAACCCAACCACTCAGTTGTCCCCAAGACTTTCTTACCTTGGTTCTTGCATGAGGTTGCCTGGTCCTCGCAGTCCTCTTTGTCTCCCTTTGGGCCCTTGGTCAGGTCAGAGCCTTTCCACTGTCCATATCATTCACATACAGTCAAACAACGACTCCAGCCTACGGGCCAGCACCCAGTCTTAGAGTTGCAGTTCTCCTTTTGGTGAACCTTACTCTGGCAATCCTAACCCTAGGGGGTGATCAGACTCCCCTTCTGTATCTTTGGGGCAGGCTTATCAGAATGAACTCGGGCCTCCTGTCCCCAGACAGAGTCTGCATGGGGAAGAGGATACAAGGAAGCTAAGGATTGTCTGGTGATACTCGGGCAGCCTTCCCACATCTAACTGTTTTTGGCTATCCCAGTTAAAGAGAGACTTCTGACCTTGATGCATTCTGTCCTCAAAGAATAGAGCAGACTAGAAATTCAGCTAGGTCCCGTAGGGAATGTAAGACTAGCAAGAGGCTGTCACAAGCAACCATCTATTCTCCTGAATTATTCTGAGCTCTTTTACCCAAGAGATTTTATAGTACTTATTGGGGGGGGGTGTCTTATTATGCATTTCAGATTGTCTTTGAACTATGTAGCCCAGAGTGGACTTGAATTCACGGTGATCCTCCTGCCTCAGCCTCCTGAATGCTAGGATTATAGGGGTGTGCCACCATGGCAGGCCACCTGAGATATTTTATACTCATAGCAAATTAGCCTTTGCTTCTCAAGCAGTTACTCCCTTGAATCTCCTATAAATAGTCACCACTTCTCCCCAGAATCTCAATCCCTTTCTGGAGCTACAAATGTTATTTACCCTTCAGCCACTTGAGTTGCGTTTCTTATTTTTTATGACTCCCAAGTACACACTGATAAATAAATTTTTCTCCTGTTTATTTAAAAAAAAGATGGAGCCGGGGATTTAGCTCAGCAGTTTCGCCACCTGCTGCGCAAGCGCAAGGACCCGAGTTCAATTGCTGGTACCAAAAAAGAAAAAAAAAATAAAACAATAATTAATACCAGTTCATACCAATCTGTCGCGGTGGCACTCCTCAAACTAGTTCCTGAGCCTCAGCAGTTCCACTGTGCGTCTGAGGTTTACCGACACACCAGGGGGAGCCAACCTCCCTATAGATGAAATGGTCGCTGGTGCCAGACAAGTTCGCGTCTCCAGTGCTCCAAGGTTCACACTGGCAACACAGGAGTTGGAATGCACCATCTCCAACTCTCTAAATCCGAGAGAGCCCCCAAGAAAGGTAGGAGGTCTCACAGAGAGGCAGGACACCGAGGCTTTTCCCAGGAAGTGGCATTTATTTGTGCCGGCATGGGGCTCAGTGGGTATTAACCCACTGAACATGGCGGCATGTCTGTCTTTCCCATAAACGGAGACACTGATGTACCAGACTGATTGGGTGCAATCAGTATCACAGAGCAGGGCTGGAACTACACATGCACGTCTAGGAACTACGAGCCATGTTGTCTTTCTTGGCTCTGAGAAGCCACCCCCTCTACCACATTCCTTTGGGGGCCCTGGCCAGACTCCTGGGGAAGGGTCCTGCCACAGTGAGAGACAGCCTTCCTATGGAGCCTAGGTGGGCCTCACATTCATGATCCCCCTACCTCAGCCTCCCAAATGCTGAGATTATAGGTGTGCACCACAATGCAGTCACCCTGGTTGTTCTGAGGGCAGCAAGGAATCCTCGCTTTCCCTGGGGGAACCAATTCCCTGACTGGTCCTACAACAGGGCTGGCCCTGGCTACCCTGTCCAGTTGGGCTGCCGCACTGGGCCCCTCCAGCCTGCTTGCCCATTGGCGCCCCAGAAGGGACTCTGGAGACCCTGCTCTTGCCTGTGTCTACCCCACCCATCCACCTGCCAGCCTCCCTTTGGCATGGAGGCCCTGGCTCTACTCTTCACTGCAGGTGCCAGGGCTCTGCTCCCCAGGTCTCAGGGAACCTCCCACTTCCCTTTTTTTTGGGTACTGGGGATCTAATTCGGGTCCTTGTGCTTGTGCAGCAGGCGGCGAAACCACTGAGCTAAATCCCCAGTCCTACCTTCCCTTTTGTGTGCAACCACAGGAGAGGCACAGGAGTGCTTCTCTTCACAGTTCCTCCTGACTCATGCTCTAGCTCTGGGCCACTAGCTGAGCCGTGGCTGTGCTTCTGTCTCTCCTCTCTCAGCTGGCTCCCTCCTGGCTGGCTGCTGGGACATCTATTCACTCCCTGGGTGGCTTCCAGCACCAAGCAGGCAGGCGACAGCCTGCACAGGCCATTGTGGCCACCACAGCATCTCCCTCAGCAGTTGTTTTTCCAGGTACATTTTTTTGGAATTGTGTTGATTACACCAGTTCTCCTATGCAGCCAAAAAAGGTGCCTGGAGTCACCCCAGAAACAGTGGTAAGGGAGCTCCTACAAGTGACTGCCTCAAGTCTTCCCAAGATGGGACCTACTGAGGTTCCAGACACAGAAGCTGTTAAAGAGTCCTGAGGTCGGTCCAAAACACTGATTAGGGGCCTCACTCAATGTGTCCTCAGGCACACATGAAAGCAAAGGAATGCCCTGTGTCCATGGCAGTGGGCCAGGGAATGGGGTTGAGGGAATGGGGCTCAAGGTGGCCAGGTTCCACATGTTCAGCAACATGTTTGATCTTTGGAGTCTGAGGCAATGGCCTAAGCGGATCAGTGTCTTTGAATGTTCAAGGTGTGACTTGGGTTCAGTCCTGCAGGGAGAGTATACAGCAGACTGGTGCCAGAGTGGTCAGGGATTGTTTGCCAGTCGAAACACAGAAAGTAGGGGGCTGGGGACACCCAGGATAAACACATGCTCAGATACATACCCTTCTCAGGGGCTGCTAGAGGACTCACTTCAGCAAAGTAGAGAGAAAAGGTTCTTTGAGAGCCGTGTGGCAGGCTAGGCAACAGCTGGTGTAGGCTGCAGGGGGAGAGTGCTTGGCTGGAACGTGGGACGCTCTGGGTTTCAACCCCACACCACAAAACCAAAACCAAAAAAAGAAAGTAGGGGCATGACTTAGATTTTAAAACAATGCCATCAAAAAATGTTGGATAAATCGGGCATGGTGGCACATGCTTGTAATCCTAGCACTCTGGGAGGATGGCGAAGAAGGATTCCAAGTTCGAGCCCAGCCTGGGCAACTTAGTGAGACCCTGTTCAAAATTTTAAAAGGGCCAAAGATATAGCTCAGTCCTGGGTTTAATCTCCAATACTGAAAAATAAATAAAATTGGTTCAACCTGACGTGGTGGTCCACAGGTAGTGGATCACAAATTTGAGCCCTGCTTGGTCAATTCAGCTATTTAGCAAGACCCCATCTCAAAGAATAAAAATTTAAAAAGGGGATGTAGCTCAGTGATAAGGCCCTGGTTTAACCCCCTGTAGAGAGAAAAGTCAGGCGTGATCACGCACGCCTATCATCCTAGCTAAATGGAAGACTAAGGCAGGAGAATCACAAGTTGGGGGGCCTGGGGAATTTAGTGGGAGCCTGTCTCAAATAAAATTGGAAACACAACAGAGGATGCTTTTTCCGCTTCATTTCTGGAAGCCCCGCCTATTCCGAGCAAGACGTCACTCAGGGAGCCTCCGTCTCCACGGCGACGGAATGCAGCCTCGGAAATCCCTGCGCAAGCGCAGAAAGATTCCACTGGGGGGGAGGGGCGCGCCAGACCCGCCCCCTTACGCACATTCATCTACTGGGACTTCCCCACGGCCCCTTTCTGTGCCCGGTGTCCGCTCGCCCAGTTGACCGTCAGGCGCGAGTCTCTCTCTTTCTGAGGACCGTCCTCTCCTCACTATGTGGCCTTCTTTGCCAGGAGGCGATCGCGCAGACACAGAAGGCCCCAGGCCCGGCCGGCCCAGGCCCACCCGTTCGATCGCAACCGTACACTCGAGTCTGCGCCGGGAATGTCACACGCGCGGGGTCTCCTGGGAGCTCCCGCCCCGCCCCCTTGCGCGGTGCTGCCTGCGTTATGCGCAGGCGCTCCTGGGAGCTCCCGCCCCGCCCACTGGCCCAGGTCCGCGAACTACGGCTCCCTGTAGGCAGTGCAGCGGCCTGGACCAGAGCCGGGGTCGCGACGGGCGGCCGGGTGGGCTCGGGCGCGGCGGGGCGGCCTGGCCTGGGTCCTGAGCAGCAGGACAGTCAACTAAGGACGAGGTGCAGGCTCAGCGCTGCCTGGTTACCCCGCGGCCCTGGGTCGAGCGCGCCGGAAAACTCTGGGCAAGTGGGGGCCGGGCCCGGCGGCCTTTCGGAGCCGGGGGCGGTGGCAGCGGACCCGCGCGCCGGGGGAGCGGGGCAGGGCTGGCGCCTCGGTCCCTCCGTCTGGGGCCGCCGCTGGTGCCTGTGCGTCCGCAGCCTCGGCCGGGACCACGCGGGGCCCCGACGTCCGCAGTCCCGGGCTGACCGCGGCTGACGCAGGGGTCCTGGCCTCCCAACCGCGAGCGCCCTGAGGCGGGACGCGGCGCCGGGGTCGCGCTGTGTCGCAGGTGCTAACTGTGCGTCTCGGCACCCCGGCCGCAGGGTTGGATCGCTTGGTGCCCACGCCGAAGCTCTGCACGGTCGAGGCCAGTCTCTGGGGTCCAGGAGCCAGGGCTGCAGCCCGAGCCTCAAGGCGGGCCGGGACCGTGGACGACCGGACAGGTGAGCGCTTGGCTGGCTGTGGCCTGATAGCTGCCGTCTGGTGCGTTTACCCTATGGATGCGGTTTGGTTCCATGTCGGTCCGCGTCGGCAGGCTTGTGTTTGTATCTGAGTGTGCAAATGTGGGGGTAGGGTGGGAGAAATCATCAGAACCAAGTGAGGAGAGAACAGAGGTGCTAGACAGGCTCCTGATGGGCACCAGCCGGGTTGGCGGGACAGAGCAGCCCATGCGGGAGCCCTGGCGAGCCTGGCCGTCCTGGGAAGGTCGCTGGCTCCCCTTACACCCTGGCCTGTTGCTCCAGACGCAACAAATGTCTGAATGTTGCTCTCCCGCCCAAGGTCAGCCCGGGCTGTGGTGGGGTAATGGCTAACAATAGTCTCCAGCTAGTTAGCCGATATTAGTCGTGATGATGCCCCAGACCGCATGGCTTTTTCCCCAGCGTGGCTTTTTACACCCAGTCGCCATGGCTGTGAGGTTGGGTTTCCTGGCCTCTCTCTCGGGCTTCACCCCACTCACTGGTGGCTGGTCTCCATGGCACCCAGGATGCCCACCTGCATCTTAGAAGCGGCTGTCCGATGGGAAGAGCCTGTCACGCCCCGTTTTGGGCCAGTTGACTGCCGCACACGATGTCAGCTTGGCAGTGTCTTTGGGCACAGCCGAGGTGCTAGGAGTAGGACAGCCTCATGGCCCGTGCTGTCTGCATCACGTCACGTTATTCTGAATAAAAGCAATCTGACAACTTCTTGCTAAACATGATTTAATTTCTGTATTGTTGTAAAGCTTTCTAATAAAGTATTCACAAATAGGGAACAGTGTCTTCCTGCACCGTCCTGGGGCTTCTGTCCTCTTAAGAGACGGATGGTTCTTGTGGAGAGAGACGCGTGTGGGTGGCAGCAGCCCCAGTGGCCTCTGGTGATGGTGACAAATACTAAGTGTGTCAGACTGCCTCTAAAACCATTTTTCTCCAGACTGGTTTGCTGCCTGCCCGCTTGGTTTGCTGTGTTCTGTGTTGGCAATGGCTGCTAGCTTTCCACTGGAAATCTTGGTGGCTGAGCGAATTTGTGACCCAGGAAGTAACAAGTAAATGCCTGGGATGCTGACTGGAGGCTGCTGTGTGCTCTGAGGTGAGTTCTGATTTCTCTGAAGCACATTTGCTGACCAAGTCCTCGTACTCTGCTGGCCCCACAGTCTTTGTCGACATTCGTAGCAAGCTGAGAGCCTCCAAAACCCAGACTAGCTAGCAAGTCCAGCATTTCTGGCCAAGGAGACATTGGGAACCCTGCGAGCCGGTTTGCACTTCGACGCTCGCGTGTGTGTTCGCTTCGGCATTCAGCATCCTGAAGTGTGAGGTGGCAGCTGTGTGCTTAGGAGAGGGGTGAAGGCCCCTGCTCTGCGGCTCCAGGTGAGGCCCTCCATGTGCCTGGAGCTGGGATTGCGGCAGCTCTCAGACCTTGCTGGACAGGGCAGTGCACACGGGGCTGGGCTGCGGTCCCACAAGGCTGTGGCTGTCTCCACGAGACTTCAGCAGGTCAGCTTAGAGTCCGAGGCCAGCCGCGGGGCTCTCCGCTTTCCCGAGGCCTCTGGCCCAGAGCTAACCAGCTTGCAGGGTGCTCAGGGCTCACAAGAACCTTCCTCTGTGCCTGGAGCTGTCAGGGTGAGGACAGGAGGGTGAGAGCGAGTGGCAGAGAGGCCTCCTGACCTCCAGGAAGGCCTGGCATGTGGCAGTGGTCAGGAGGTTGAGGCAGGGTGGGTCCTTGGAGAAGGTGGTGGTGGTGAAGTGTCCCGGATGTGCCTGTCCGAGAGGGTCTGGGTGGCAGTCTTTCTCCAGGACAGGGCCCCCATGCCTTTCACTCACTGGGTATTCCTCTCCATGGCGTCCTGGGCAATGCAGCACCCACCTGAGGTCTGGAGTGTGGCTGGCCTGGGCACCCAGTGCTGGGCCACCCAGGCCCTTTCCTAGACTTGCCCAGAGCCTGAGGACAGCAGCCCATGGTCTGCCACGCTCGGGCTGCTCCAACCCAGGCCTGGATGAGGAGGTGCTTGTCCCATGGCCTGAAGAAGACAGTGATGGTCAGGGAAGCCCAGGCGATGAGCCCTTTGTCGACAAGCTCCACTCCAAGTTGGCCAGGCTGCCTGGGAGGCCCTGAGGCCCCTTGCTCTCTGTGAGCAGTGAGGGTGGCAAGATCCTCGTGCATGCCCTTCTGTAGGGAGAGATTTCCTGGAGAGGGGAGCAGCAGCCACATCTCAGCTGGGGCCCCTTCCCTAGCTCGTCTGGGTCTTGCTGCTGCCTTCCTGCTCCTGATTCCTCTAACCCCCTGGTGAGACTCCTGTACCCCTATCCTGGAGATCGCACGGTCTGGGGGAGGGAGCCCTGAGGCTGAGGGCACAGGACCTGCATGGTTGTGGAACATGAGCAGCAGTGACATGCCAGGGCCAAGGACAACAGTGATGAAGACCAGGCAGGGAGGCCCCGGGGGAGGGGGTAGAGAGGAAAAGCTACCTTCCTGGTCCCCCTGAGTGTCCTAGGAGGCCAGCCAAGTCCAGCTGCTTCTGAGGCCCCACAGCCCTGTCCATCTGTCCCGTGGCGACTGTGTACTGGGGGACAGTGGGGAGCTATTGCTGGAGGCTCAGCTCAGGAGAGGAGCCCAGCCAGCCAGAGCCGTGGCATGCCTGGTGGTGGGTACAGCTTTTGACCTTGAGGGCAGACCCTGTAATCTCCGGGATGGGGATACAGGAGGGAGGTGGCACGGAGGCTCCCTAGGCTGCAGGTACCAGGAGGGCTGGACACTCGGTGCCCAGGGGAGGCCGTGGAATGAGCGAGTGCCCTGAGCCTGGCCTGGCTCCTCTTTCTCTGGGGAGTCCCGGGCATCGGGGTGCTGGTTCTGGGCAGGAAGCCCTCCCCAGGTCCCGGCTTCTGTGCTCCAACACTGGTGGGGTCCTTTGAGAGGGGAGGTGGTTGACTGGCCCAGGCTAAAAGCTGTCTGGTTGTGCTAAAAATATCAGGCCGAACGGGAGGCAGATGCTAGCTAGCCACTGTTGGCTCCTTTGTCGTGCACTGGGCACTCCTGGCAGCCTCCTGCCAGGGGATGTTGGCTGAGGACCGGTCCTGAGGGCCCTGGATCCTGCAGGCACCTCCACTTTCCTCTCAGAACCGCTGGCCACCTTGTGTGGATGGGCTTGGGCCGGGGTGTGTGCGGGCTCATGGTTGGGGCGCCCTTCCATGTCTTGTTGGAAAAAGCTCAGCAGGAGTGGTCAGGGGGCCATAGACCAGCAGTGGCAGGGGCTGGGCTGAGGCCGGGCTGCCAGAGGTGGAGGATGTGCCTTCTGGTACAGGTAGCCACCAGCTGGCAGCATTTGGGTCCTTTGTCTCAGTGCCGGCTGGGTTCAGGGGTTGGTGGTCAGGGCGTCCCCTGCCGGCAGGGCCCGTGGCTGGGTGTCTGTTTGCACTTGTATGGGTCTGGTTGCCCGAATGAGCCCTGCTCTTGCTAAATGCGAGTGTTGGGGTGGAGCCACGTTCGTGTGTCCATCAGCCCTGGTTAATTCTGACAGGCTCCTCGAAGGAAGCAGGGCTTGTGGATCTGCTGGGGTGGGGCTGTATCCTCAGGAGCAGTACCACCCCTGCGCCAGCAAGTTCATGTCAGCCGTGTTTTGGGGAGCAGAAGCTGGCAGAGCTGCCCCAGCTGGTGGTGCTGCAGGTCAGGCCTGAGCAACCCAGTGGTTCTGGGAGGGAAGCAGGGTGGCCTCCCCCAGCACAGACCCCATGGGGACTGGGCCACTGCCAGGGAGGGCGTGGGGCTGGCTGCCCGCTGGAACTGTGTCCTGTGCCAGTCGAAGCTGTGCTGCTCAGGTGCTGTGCGGTGGTGGGCTGACCGGGGCTCCGGGTCTGTGGTCATTGTAGGATCCGAGTGCGGTTTCCTCTGCTGCTGTGGGTCTTGCTTGCTCAGCCTGGTCACTGGGGCTGGCAGGGGCCACGTAGGATGCACACAGGATGTCGTGTGGTCACACCGGCTGGCCTCACAGCCCTGCCCTTTGGGCTTGCTGCCAAGGTCAAGGGGAGCTGAGCAGCACGTGGGGAACCCTGGGCTGGTGACAGAGAGCACAGTGCCCTGGCACCCTCACCAAGAGCTCTGGCTGCAGAGGGGTGGGCTTGACCCTCCTGTGAGCAGAAGAGGAGGAGGCCCCTGCTGCTGGACTCTGCCTGGCCTCAGGCCTCTGTGCCACATCTGGGCAGGTCTCCAGAGCCTGCCGAGGGAGGGAGGGGCTCCGAAGAAACAGTGCCCGCCACCTGGGCCGGGAGGATGCTTCAAACCCGCAGTCCCCAATACGCAGAAGGCTGAGGCCAGGGCACAGGAAGTCCAAGCCTGGCCTGGCGTGGACAAGCCCTGCCTTAAATAAGCAATATGAAGGCTCTGGGTTCAATCCCCAGTACTGACCAGTAAATCAATCCATCTACCTGCTCCTGAAGCAGCCCTGGCTTCCTGGGCTGGGCTGGGCTGGGGTGGGGAGAGCAGCAGAAGGCTGAGCGATTCTTGCCCGAGACTCTGAGGGGAGTGGCCCGCATGCCCAGCCTCTGTGTAGCACCTAGGTGGGCCAAGGTGGGCTTTTCACACGGGCCTGGCTCTGGGACAGCCCTGGGACTCGGGCCGCTGCTGTGGCACAGACTCTTGGCCCTGAGCCTGGCCCGGCCTTCCTCACTGCCCAGCTGCAGCCATGGAGCGTGGCTCTGAACTAGCCAGGCCCAGGGGATAGGGACAGGGACCCTGGAGCAGGCCCAGGTAGGGGTGGCATGTGTCCCTCCCTCGGGCTGCCTGGGCCTTGGCCAGCTGGTGGCACCCCTGCCGCCACACTGGTCTTCACTGTGCCCTGGCCAGCCCTGGCTGGGCCCGTGTCCTGGAGCTGGATTTCTAGTCCCCTCTCCCCAACCTGGGCAGGGCCCTGTGTGGCCCCTTCCCTAGCCACAGGGCCTGCCAGTTCAACGAGATGAGTAGAGGTGGCTCCTCACCCCTTTCCCTGTCCAGGAGTTCCTGCGCTTTCTCCCTGTCTAGGTCTTGTCTTTTGAATTCCTCTGTATTAGCTGGGCAAAGTAGTATACATTTGTAACCCTAGCATTCTGGAGGCTGAGGCAGGAGGTTCCCAAGTTCAAGCTCGGAGAGGGCAACATAGGCTTAGCCCTAAGCCCAACCCTGTATTGCAAAAAACCCCAGAAAACAAACAAAAAACCCAATACCAACAAATGGATTCTTATTAACAAGACTGTTCAAGACTGGCACAATACAGAGTGCTTAGGTCACACAAAGCGAATCCACAGGACCGTGGCTGGGGGTCAGGTCCACACCACCCTGGAGCTGTCCCATTGCAGACTGCTATGAATGGAGTCACTGTAGTGCATGTTCTCTTCCACTCACTGCCCTTCAGTGTCCATTTGTGAGCTTTGCCTCTCTGTATATAGTGAGCAGGGTTTGCGCTCCCTTGGGGACTAAAGGGGGCTGAGGCAGGAGTACTGCAAATTAGTCTGGCTTGGTAAACTTACAGACTTAGTGAGACCTCATCTCAAAATAAAAAGGTCTGGGAGCCGGGCGTGGTGGCACACACCTGCAACCTTAGCACTCAGGGGGCTGAGGCAGGAGGATGGCCATGAGTTCCAGGCCAGCCTGGGCTACATGGTGAATTCAGGTCCAGCCTGGGCTACATAGCGAGACCCTGTCTCAATAAAGCAAAAAGAAAGAGAGAATGCAAACACACAAGCCACTGCTCGGTTCTTCCTGGAGGACAGTGGCAGGAGCTTCTGGAGGTGGCACCACTGTGCTGGGCACTGTCCCACAAAAGAGGCCAAAGACAGTCCTGCCGTGGCAGTGTCTGAGCCCGAGGGCCTGTTTCTTGTTTCTCCCACGCCCCATTGCTTTGCCTGGCCTTTCTTACCCACCTGCAGGACTCTGCGCCCCTCTGCACAAGTCCTGTGAGGGACCACAGGTGGCAGGCATCTTCCCTCACAGGCTGTGCCCTTTTAGGCACCCCATGCATACCTTGGCTGTGCAGAGAAATAGTCTGCTTTCTCCTGGAAGCGGAGTTGCCTCACCTTTCAAACTGCTGTCTTCAGTGCAAATCCAGTCTTGTTTTCTTTTTTTTTTGGTACTGGATGGAACTCAGGTCCCTGTACTTGCGCAGCAGGCGGCAAAACCACTGAGCTAAATCCCCGGCCCAATCCAGTCATTTTTAAATGCAGGGATGGGACTACAGCTCAGTGGTAGAGCCCTTGTCTAGCACGTTCCAGGCCTGAGTTAGATTCCCCGGTTCAATCACAACAGAACAAGAAATCAAAGAAAATGTACACATATTGATGGTGTGCTGGGTACTGTCCCCCTAGCAACTGTCCCCAGTGGTCCTGCTCCCTTGGGCTCCCTGCCTTTGGGCCCCACCTCAGGGTCCTGAAAGCTGGGACTTCCTCCTTCGGCTTCCCACCCTTCCAGCCCCGGGCACCAACTGCCTCCCGCCCTGTCTGCAGGTTCTTTTTTATTTTTTTTGGTACCAGGGACTAAACTCTGGTCCTTGTGCATGCGGGACAGGCGGTGGAACCACTGAGCTAAATCCCCGGCCCTGTCCGCAGGTTCTTTTGGGTTTGTTCTCTGCAGTCCAGGCCCCGCTCCTCTCCCAGCACGGGTGTCCTATGGGCTTATTGGCCCCCGATGTCAACCGGGGGTGCTCTGTGCCACAGGTCCCAGCAGCCTGCCCGCCATGGACCCCGACCCCCAGGCGGGTGTTCAGGTGGGCATGCGCGTGGTGCGTGGTGTGGACTGGAAGTGGGGCCAGCAGGACGGAGGCGAGGGCGGCGTGGGCACCGTGGTAGAGCTGGGCCGGCATGGCAGCCCCTCGACACCTGACCGCACCGTCGTGGTGCAGTGGGACCAGGGCACCCGCACCAACTACAGAGCCGGCTACCAGGGTGCCCATGACCTGCTGCTCTACGACAACGCGCAGATTGGTATGTGGGTGGGAGGTTCAAGAGGTGGGAGGGGCTGGCCAGGTGGGCGAGGCCCCCCAGGGCCCCTGCTGACCCCAGGTCGCCCTGCCCCCAGGCATCCGCCACCCCAACATCATCTGCGACTGCTGCAAGAAGCACGGGCTGCGGGGCATGCGCTGGAAGTGCCGAGTCTGCTTCGACTACGACCTCTGCACGCAGTGCTACATGCACAACAAGCACGACCTCACCCACGCCTTCGAGCGCTATGAGACAGCCCACTCGCGCCCGTGAGTTCCCTTGACCTCTGAGGGCTCCACCGAGAGGGAAGGCGGGTCCTTTCCAAGCCATTCTTGAGAAAGGGCCAGGGTCACCTCACTCCCGGGAAGGTAGTCGATTTCCCAAGCAGGTCCCAGTGCAGGTGCTGTAGCCTGGGTCACCTCTGTGCCTGCACAGCCTGAGGCCAGGTGATGCCTCAGCAGAGCTGCAGCCGGGTGCTGCCCATCGAGGCAGCCAGCATCCCTGCAGGCACCAGGTCTAGCAGCAAGGCCTGTGGCCAGGCGGTCACCCTGGGGGCCAGCTGCTTGGACAGCTGGGAATGGCCCTGGGCTGCGGGGCTGGGAGAGGGCAGGCAGCCAGGGGCATCACTGGGTATCCCCTGTCCTGACCCTGCAGGTGGAGGGAAGTGTGCTTTAGGTCCCAGCTGCCTGTTGGCACCTTTGTGCTGCCGGCCCGGCCTGGCCTGCCGGGTAGAGACTGAGGGCCTGGGTGGGCTCTGAGCCCGGGGGCTCGTGGAGCCTCCTCCTGGGATGCACAGGGCCTGACCTGCTGTGGGGCGAGGGCCTGGGAGCCAGGGTTTCTGCCCTGCAGCCCCTGGTGGTGACACCACCCCACACAGCTCAGGCCTGGCTCTTGCAGGGTCATGCTGGGTCCCCGCCAGGGCCTCCCGCGCGTCCCGCTCAGGGGCATCTTCCAGGGAGCGAAGGTGGTGCGAGGCCCCGACTGGGAGTGGGGCTCCCAGGACGGTGAGTGCTGGCCGGGACAGGCGGGTGGGCAGCTCGGACCTGGGAAGCAGTCTCAGCTGTGGAGGGGACGCTGTCTCCCCAGGAGGGGAAGGGAAGCCGGGCCGCGTGGTGGACATCCGTGGCTGGGATGTGGAGACCGGCCGGAGTGTGGCCAGTGTGACCTGGGCTGACGGAACCACCAACGTGTACCGCGTGGGCCACAAGGGCAAGGTGGACCTCAAGTGTGTGGGCGAGGTGGCCGGCGGCTTCTACTACAAGGAGCACCTCCCACGGCTCGGTAGGGCCTGATCCCGCAGCCTGCCTGCCCTGGTCTGGGTGCCCAGGCGCTGCTGAGGCCCGGCCTGCCACCCTCCCCAGGCAAGCCGGCGGAGCTGCAGCGCAGGGTGAGTGCCGACGGCCAGCCCTTCCAGCGAGGGAACAAGGTCAAGTGTCTGTTGGACACAGAGGTCCTGAGGGACATGCAGGAAGGCCACGGCGGCTGGAACCCCAGGATGGCGGAGGTGAGCCGCCTGGCCCGCGGAGTCCTGTGCGCCCTGCCCTCCCGAGCCCTCTGCCTGCCCCAGTCATAGCCTCCGTGCCCCGCCACAGTTTATTGGACAGACGGGCACCGTGCACCGCATCACAGACCGTGGGGACGTGCGCGTGCAGTTCAGCCACGAGATCCGCTGGACCTTCCACCCTGGGGCTCTCACCAAGGTGCCTAGGGGCTGGGCCGAGCCTCCCCTGGGTACCTGCTTGGCTGCCAGGGCACCGGTGCCCCAGGAGTCGCAGACCTGGAGGGTGGGGTGGGGCCCAGAGGAGTGGCGGGCGCTGGAGAGGGCAGCTCAGATTGGACTCGAGGGCTGGGCTTGGTCTCCGAGGTCTCCCTGCGGGCGCAGCATAGGGCAGATCAGAGGCCTGTGAGACAAGGAGGCCAGGATGGAGCGCGGAGGAAGGGTGCGAGGTGTGTGGGGATGATGGGTGGAGCTGGCAGGCAGTGTGCGTGTGTGCGCGTGTGTGTGGTCCGCGCAGGGGAGTTGCAGGACCAGCAGCGAGCAGAGGAAGCTGGCTCAGCCCGGGGATGTGGGCTGCCGCCTCCGCCCCTCCCAGGCCCCGCCCCTGGGGCACTGCAACACTGGCCTCTCTAAAGATTTGAAATTTAATATTCTTTTTTTTTTTTTTTTTGGTACCAGGGATCAAACTCGGGTCCTTGAGCTTGGGAGGCAGGCAGCAGAGCCACTGAGCTAAATCCCCAGCCCTAGGTGGCTTCTGTCTGGTGTGGATGCCGCCTCCCAGCTCCCTCAGCTGTCACCCCATGAGGGGCTGGGGCACCCAGGGCTGCTTTGGTCACCTGGGGCCCTTGTCCAGCCAGATCCTGTGGTGCTTGGGTAGGAACTGGGGCTGAGTGTGGGCCTGCTGGTCCTGTGTGGCTCCACTGGGCATCCACAAGGCTCAGTAGCCACGTGGGCTGGGGGACCCTCTTACCTGCCTCTCTGTCACCCAGCACAACTCCTTCTGGGTGGGCGATGTGGTCCGGGTCATCGACGACCTTGACACCGTGAAGCAGCTGCAGGCTGGGCACGGCGAGTGGACGGATGACATGGCGCCTGTGAGTCACCTGGCCTGCTGCGGACCCCCTCACCCCACAGACCTGCAGTGACCCCGCCTTTCCCACAGGCCCTGGGCAGAGTTGGAAAAGTGGTGAAGGTGTTTGGTGATGGCAGCCTGCGAGTGGCAGTTGGTGGGCAGCAGTGGACCTTCAGCCCCTCCTGCCTGGTGGCCTACCGCCCTGAGGAGGATACCAACCTGGACGTGGCCGAGCGTGCACGGGAGAACAAAAGTGTGGCACCACTGGGTGGCCGGTGGGAGGGAGGGAGGGTGGCCCTGCCTGGCACTGACTTTGCCTGCCCCCAGGCTCACTGAGTGTGGCCCTGGACAAGCTACGGGCCCAGAAGAGTGAGCCAGAGCACCCTGGGAGGCTGGTGGTGGAGGCGGCACTGGGTAATGTGGCACGGGCGCTGGACCTGCTGCAGAGACACCGAGAGCAGGCAAGTTCTGCCCTGCCCACCCCAAGGGCCAGCAGGAGGCCAGGCAGGGCCTGGAACTCATCGCTGGCTCTCCTGGCAGGTGGATACCAGGAACCAGGGCAGGACTGCCCTGCAGGTGGCCACCTACCTGGGACAGCTGGAGCTGGTGCATCTCCTGCTGCAGGCACAAGCAGATGTGGACCTGCTGGACGAGGAGGGCAACACCGCACTGCATTATGCGGCCTTGGGGTGAGTCTTGATGGACTGGGGGTCACCAGGGGCTGAGCCTGTGGCCCGGCCAGCAGCACAGTGCCCCTTCCTCTGCCATCAGGAACCAGCCCGAGGCTGCCCGGGTGCTCCTGAGTGCAGGCTGTGGGGCCAACGCACTCAATGGCACCCGGAGCACAGCCCTGCATGTGGCAGTGCAGAGGGGCTTCCTGGAGGTGGTGCGGGTCCTGTGTGAGCGCGGCTGTGACGTCAACCTGCCCGTAAGTGAGACTGGGTTCTGGGCGCCTGACCCCAGCTGAGCACAGGAAGTCGCTGTGGAGTGACCGCTGGCTCCCTGCTGCAGGACGCCCATGCAGACACACCCCTGCACTCAGCCATCTCGGCGGGCGCAGGCGCCAGTGGCATCGTCAAGGTCCTCACCGAGGTGCCAGGCATTAACATTACTGCCACCAACAGCCAGGGCTTCACACTGCTGCACCACGCGTCCCTCAAGGGCCATGCGCTGTGAGTCGGGCGGCACCCACTGGCAGCCTGCCTGGGCCACCTTGGGGACAGCACCAGGCCTGGACAGATCTGCCTGCTCCCACAGGGCTGTCAGGAAGATTCTGGCACGGGCTCGGCAGCTGGTAGACGCCAAGAAAGAGGATGGCTTCACAGCCCTGCATCTGGCTGCCCTCAACAACCACCAAGAGGTGGCCCAGATCCTGATCCAGGAGGTAGGCCCCTGGCCTCCGCAGGGATGGGGGCTGGGCGGGCTGGGGGCCTGGGCTGAGCCTGCACCCCTCCCCAGGGCCGCTGCGACGTGAACGCGCGCAACCGCAAGCTCCAGTCCCCACTGCACCTGGCTGTGCAGCAAGGCCACGTGGGGCTGGTGCCCCTGCTGGTGGATTCGGGCTGCAGCGTCAACACGGAGGACGAGGAGGGGGACACAGCCCTGCACGTGGCCCTGCAGCGTCACCAACTGCTGCCCCTGGTGGCTGACAGGGCTGGGGGGGACCCAGGGCCCTTGCAGCTGCTGTCCAGGGTGAGGAAGTAAGGAGTGCGAGTGGAGAGGTGGCCCTGCAGCTCCACCTCTGCTTTGGCAATGCCCAGGGGAGGGGCAGCGTGGGGGACAGGTTTGCAGCAGTTGTCCCTTGGGCCCCTCAGCGGAGGCTGTTAGGGCCACCAGCCTGCCCCTCCCTGTAGCCTCAGACAGCAAGGGGTAGGTGCGGCTTCCGCCCAAGGGCAGGGGCTTCGCTCGGGCCTGCCTGCACCACCCTCACAGGCTCCTGTCCCGCGGCCCAGCTGCAGGCCTTGGGCCTCCCAGGCAGCACGGAGATGACCGTGGGCGCCGCGGTCGCCTGCTTTCTGGCACTGGAGGGCGCCGACGTGGGCTACACCAACCACCGCGGCCGGAGCCCCTTGGACCTGGCCTCCGAGGCCCGTGTGCTCAAGACCCTGCAGGGCTGTGCCCAGCGCTTCCGGTGAGCGCGCGCCGCGGGGGAGGGGCCCCACCGCGCGGACCCTTTCAAGCCCCCTCCTCCGGTTGTAGGGAGCGGCAGGCAGGCAGCGGGGTCGGCCGGGCCGCGGTCCCCAGGCTCACGCGCAGCACCCCGAACACCGTGACCAATCTGCACGTGGCCGCCGTGGGGCCCGAGGCCGCCGAGTGCCTGGTGTGCTCGGAGCTGGCGCCGCTGGTTCTGTTCTCACCGTGCCAGCACCGAACCGTGTGCGAGGGTGAGTGCCGGGCCCGCGGGGCGGGGGTCCTGGCCTGCGTGTGGCCAACGCGCTGCTGTCCCGCAGAGTGTGCGCGCAGGATGAAGAAGTGCATCCGGTGCCAGGCGGCCATCGGCAAGAAGCTGCGCCCAGGTGGGTGAGCGTTTAGGGGCCGGCGTGGGGCACACGACCCTGCCCGGCTGACCCGGTCCCGCCCCGCAGACGGCTCAGAGGTGGCGGGCGCTGCCCCTGCGTCCGGCCCGCCGCGGCAGCTGGTGGAGGAGCTGCAGAGCCGCTACCGGCAGATGGAGGAGCGCATCACCTGCCCGATCTGCATCGACAGCCACATCCGCCTGGTGTTCCAGTGCGGCCACGGCGCCTGCGCGCCCTGTGGCGCCGCGCTCAGCGCCTGCCCCATCTGCCGCCAGCCGATCCGCGACCGCATCCAGATCTTCGTGTGAGCGCGCGCTCCGTCCCGTTTTATAAAGAGATTCTCGGACCTTGCCGCCTGTTGCCTGCTGCCTGGGGCCGCGTCGCCCCGTCCCAAACTGTCGGCCTAGTGGGGCCGGCGCCGAGCGGGGGACACGCGGGAGGGGCTTTCGGTCTGTGGCTGCGAATGTTTCACTGTGGAGAGGCGGGGCGCTTTCCAAGAACCGCGGGCCGCGCCAGCTGCTTGGCGCGCTGTCACCTTGTGCCGAGGGGACAGGACGCGGTGCCGCCCGCTCTGGAAGGGAGCCTAACGTCTCCACCCGCCCGGAGTCTAGGCCGCCCCTTGGAGCCCTCCAGCCCCAGGCACCTCGCCCACTCCTGCCAGGCGGACCCGACCCCGTGCCTGTGCCAGGTCCCACCTCGCCCCCCAACACGAGCCCCGCCGGGTCTGCACCGCTCTGGCCCCCTGCGAGTCCAGACCCCGCGTGGGCCCTCGCCCTGGGATCCCGGCCCTCTGCGCCGCCCCCCGCACTCACTGCCACGTCTCTTGGTCCCCTCCCTCTCGCCGGCTCCTCGTTCAGAGCAAGGGCCAGGATGGAGGCTCCGCTCCGGGGATTCCATCGCGGTGCTCAAGGTGGGGGCGGGTTTCCATCTGGGGCCGTTCAGCCACCTTAGAGGCCGGCCTCCACCGTCTCCGAGCCCCAGCCCTGGTGCGACCGGTGTCCTCCACCCGAGCGACCCCGCCTGGCAGGCCATTACGCGCCGCAGCCTCTGGGCCCGGAAGCCGGGCTGCGACAGAGAGCCAGCTGGTCCCCGTCAGACCCCCCCACCCCGCCCCTCGGCTGAAACCCGAGCCGCCGACGCCCCGCGCCCCGCGCCGCCCTGAGCCGGAGCCCAGCGCGTCCGCCATGCGCCACGGGTTGTGCGTCCCCCCGGGGCCCTCGCAAGCCGTCGCCGTCCGCAGTCGCCCGCTCCGGGCCGTGCTGGGCGCGCTGTGCCTGCTGCCCGCGCTCGCAGTGCTGTCGTGGCAGGGGGCACCGGGCGGGCACGCTGCGCAGGTGAGCGGGTCGGGGCCGTGCGCCGCGGTGGGTAGGGGTGCGGGTTTCAGGGGCCAGTGCCCGCGAGGGGGCGTTCGTCTCAGCGCTGCCTCAGGCGCCCTCCAGCGCCTTCCTCGGCACCCGAGGTGACAGTGCCAGGCCCAGGGCGGGAACAAGGACCACCCTGCCTCGCCGCTCCTCCAGCCCCGCGCTGGGCTTTGGGTCGTCCCTGAAGCTCCTGACACCGCTTTCTTCCCGCGAAGAGCGACATCCAGGGCTGGGACTCCGTGGTCTCGAACGGCCCGGTCCCCAGCCCGCTGTCCCCACTGGCGCCCCGAAAACGCCGTTACACGCTGACCCCCGGCAGGCTGCGCTGGGACCACTTCAACCTCACCTACAGGTGCGCCTTGGCCCTGGGTTGGGGGCCCGGGGCAGCCCGCGCCCCCTGACCTGGACCCTCCGCCAGGATCCTCTCCTTCCCCCGGAACCTGCTGAGCCCCCGCGAGACGCGGCGGGGCCTGGCTGCCGCCTTCCGCATGTGGAGCGACGTGTCCCCTTTCAGCTTCCGCGAAGTGGACCCCGAGCAGCCCAGTGACCTCCGGATAGGTGGGCGCCGCGCCTGCGACCCCCCCCCCCGCCCGCCCGCTGCCAAGCCCGCGTCTAAGGCTTGTGCTCCCTCAGGCTTCTACCCCGACAACCACACGGACTGCCTGGTCTCTGCCCTGCACCACTGCTTTGATGGCCCCACCGGCGAGCTGGCCCACGCCTTCTTCCCGCCCCATGGCGGCATCCACTTTGATGACAGCGAGTACTGGGTGCTGGGCCCCACGCGCTACAGCTGGAAGAAAGGTGGGAAGGTGCCCCTCTGGCCGGCACCTGGGGAGCTCCGCGCCCGCCGCCTAGGGCTGCAGGGGCTACGGGGAGACCCTCCCAGTGTGGGAGGGGGTGAGGGGGGGGCTGGGAGGGGCCGTGGCCGCATCGTGGCTCCTCTGCGTGGACACCGCTCCGCTGCAGAGGGCGCTGAGCTGCATTCCTGGGGGCCCAGCTCACTGGCTGGCCTGGAACATTCTTATCTTCCGTGGCTGTGGCCCAGAGGCGACTGAGGAGGCCTGAGCGCACGGGTGGGGCTGGGGCTCAGGCGCTGACCCTGGGCCCACAGGAGTGTGGCTCACAGACCTGGTGCACGTGGCGGCCCATGAGATCGGCCACGCGCTGGGGCTGATGCACTCGCAGCACGGCCAGGCACTCATGCACCTCAACGCCACACTGCGTGGCTGGAAGGCGCTGTCGCAGGACGAGCTGTGGGGGCTGCACCGGCTCTACGGTGGGTGCCTCGGGGCCCAGGGTGGGTGGGTGGGCGGGCTGTGGGCCTGGGCAGGCCCTGAGCCGCTGTGCTCCACAGGCTGCCTGGATAGGCTGTTCGTGTGCGCATCCTGGGCCCGCAGGGGCTTCTGCGACACACGCCGGAGGCTCATGAAGAGGCTCTGCCCCAGCAGCTGTGACTTCTGCTACGGTGACGCCCGGGGTGGTTCCTGGCCGGCTCCTCTTGGCCTGCCTGGTGGGGGAGGCACTGACACACGTGTCCCTGCCCTGAGCAGAGTTCCCCTTCCCTACGGTGGCTGCCACCCCATCACCTCCCAGGACCAAAACCAGGCTGGTGTCGGAGGGCAGGAATGTGACCTTGCGCTGTGGACAGAAGATCCTTCACAAGAAAGGCAAAGTGTAGTGAGTGTTGGGCTGGGGCCAGGCCCTGGGCGGCTGGGCGGGGGCAGCACCAGCCGGACAGGCTCCCAGGGGCCTCTCCCCACAGCTGGTACAAGGACCAGGAGCCCCTGGAGTTCTCCTACCCCGGCTACCTGGCCCTGGGCAAAGCACGCCTGAGCATCATTGCCAACGCTGTCAACGAGGGCACCTACACGTGTGTGGTGCGCCGGCACCAGCGTGTGCTCACCACTTACTCCTGGCGCGTGCATGTGAGGAGCTGAGCCTGCTGGGGCCAGGCCGGGCTGGGTCGAGCCCGGCAGATAAAGCACTTTCTCCTACGTCTCCGTACTCATTTTTGCATGGGTAGGTGCAGGCTGGGCCCTGAGCAAGTGGGAAGTGGCCTGCACTGGACGTGGGGGACCCCGGGCCATAGCACCCCTCCTCCCACTGCCATGGTGGGATCAAAAGATGCCCAGGTGCCAGCAGCCTCACTGGGGGCGAGCCACGTGCAGCCCGGTGTGAAAGTGGCCACCAGGGAGTGGGAATGACCCAGGCCAGGCCGGGGCCAGCAGGGCAGAAGGGCCAGGAGGGGCAAGGGCCCGCCCGGCCAGGTGGGCAGAGACCCAGCCCCGGCCTGGTCCCCAAGCCCGGGGAAGCCCCGGAAAGGACAGGACACAGCAGGGCTTCCTCCAAGAATAGTTTACTACATCTGAAAACACGTAACAAGCGCACGTATAAAAACCCACCGTGGCCAGCGCTGTGCGCAGCCAGGCCTGGCCGTGGACGGGGGGCCTGGGCGTCGCGAGGAGCACCTGGCCGGCAAGCAGACTTGGGCTCAGACCCCACAGCTGGCAGCAGAGGACCCCAGCCTGCGGCAGCCCCGGGCCTAGCACGGAGATGCCTGCCCAAGCCTTCCTCACAGGGCGGGCCAGGAGCATCTGACAACACAGCCCCTCCTTCCATGAGGAAAACGTGGTTTAATTCTACGAATTTACAAACCAAAGTAATATACAAAACAGAAGGTGGAAAGCCAAGAGGACGAGCCCAAGATTTGGGCGTCTCGACTCGGCACCTCCAGCCCCAGGAGCTGCATCCAGGCGGGCAGGAGCTGGGTCCAGACTCACTTGGCGGCCGGGCCCGGCCCCGCGTCAGAACTTGAGGCTGAAGCCAGGGCCGGCAGCCGAGGCCCCCTGGTTGGTGGTGGTGAGGTGGAAGCCCGTCTCCTTCAGGTCGTCATCGCCCTGCGAGGCAAGGTGAGCAGCGTGAGTATGGCGCCTGGCTGGCTCGGCCCGGGACCCGCCGGCCGGGCCCTCACCAGCTGGCTGTAGCCCAGGCCGCCCTCGGGGGGCCGCGGGCTTGTGCCGCGCTTCACTCGCTGCTGCTCGCTCTTGGCAGGCCACGTGGGGAACATGGAGGGGTCGATGGGGAGCGGCGTCTCCCGGAAGTACTCGTGCTTGAGGCCGTCCTCCGCGTTGATCCTCCTCCCGGGGAAGTAGGTCAGGAACCTGGCAGGAGCGTAGGGAGGCGGGCACCATGTGGGTGGGAGGCTGGGGGGTGCTCGCCCAGGCCGCAGAGCTGGGGAGACCCTGCCCGCACGCACTTGTTCATGAGGTCGAAGCCCTGGTCCGACAGCAAGGCCCCGAAGCGCTTGCGGAGGTTGTTGTACGGGTACTCGCTGAAGGTCATTTTCTTCACTGCGGGGAGGTCGTTGTAGCCGGGCCAGATTTTCTCGCTGGGGGTCCCTAGGTCCTGAAAGACAGGGGTGCCTGAACTGGCCGTGCCCCGAAAGGAAGGTCCCCCAACTGGCAGCGTGACACTAGCGCCCATGTGTCAGGCAACCAGAGGACAGGCCACCGAGGAGCCACGCTGCCCGGGCCCTGACCCGGCCCTGCATGCGCCCGCTAACCGCACCCTGTGGAGCCCACGCAACCCCGGCAGGCCCCACACTCACCTTAAACACTTTGTTGATCTGATCGATTTCTGACTTTCCGGGGAACAGTGGCTTCTGCGTCAGTAGCTCCCCGAAGATGCAGCCCACAGACCACATGTCAACGGCCGTGGAGTACTCCTGGAAGCCCAGAGGACAGGACTCGAGCACGGGCACAATGCACCATCGGGCCCGAGGGGCAGGGTGGCCTTCAGAGCCCTGAACGCACCTTGGCACCCAGCAGCAGTTCTGGGGCGCGGTACCACAGGGTCACGACAACAGGAGTGTAGGCCTTCAGGGGTGAGCCGTACTCCCGCGCCAGGCCAAAGTCACCCACCTGCAGGGACAGAGGTGCTGGAGGCCAGGTGGGGGGCAGGGCTCCC